CAAGGACTAGGCTTCTGAGGGATTCGCCGTTGGAGACCTTATGGACAGCCGTGGGATGTTGTCAGCCCTGGAAAAGGACATGATGCTTGGTGTGGTGGCTACATCATTTCACGTCAACGTGAAGATAGATAAAAGTGCACGGGTGGAGTTTAGCCTGTCCATCAGGTCACAGCCTGATGGTGACTCCTTGTGGACATGACCTTCTAGAGGGCCCTGGAAACTTCCCCTTCTCTGCCCTCACCTTCCTGCTGGCTGACCGTGGTTGCTGCCAGAACCCTGGAGATATGTCCACCACTGGATCCACAAGACTCTGCACCCACCAGCCTGTGACCGTCCTGCACTCTGCATCATTGCCTGTGGCCCCGTGGGTTGGAAGGACTTAGGGACTAGTATCAGGCTTATGGACTTGCGTTGGACTGGGCTGGGATGTTTTCTTGATCTATAATTACTTCTTGATATAAACCCCTTTCTTATATATATATGGCCACCTCTGATTTTGTTTCTCTCATCGACCCAGCCTAACACACTTGGTAAAGTGCAAGGACAACCAAAAAGAGGAAGGCCCTTCGCGAGAAGGATTGACACAATGGCTGCAACAATGGGCGCACGCAGAGCCATTGTGAAGGTGGCATGGACCGGGCGGTGTTTCCTTCTGTCGTGCATAAGGTCGCTGTGGGTCCGAACAAGCCGCTGAGCACCTGGCCATTGTGCCACTGGTGCTCCTCTGGCAAGGAGTGAGCAGACCCCCACACCACGGCCAAGATCTCTGAAGCACAAGCAACAGAGGAAGCCAATGGACACACTGGACATTATCAAACTTTTTTTTTGGTGCTTCAAAGGAGAGACACTATTAAGAAAGTGAAAAGACAATTTTATTTTATGTCTTAAGTTCAGAACATCATATGATAAGGAACTTGGATCTTGACTATGGAAGAAACTTACGGCTCAAGAATAAAAAGGGAAATAACCCAATTTTAAAAAATGGGTCCTGGATACACACATGATCAGGAAGCACATGACCAGATAACTTAATAGCGTCACATCCTTCCTCATGAGGAAGATGCAAAGCAAAACCTCAGTGAAACCACTTCAGCCCTTCTTCGAAGGCCACGGTCAGAAGACGGAAACGTGGGAGGCTTGGTGCGGATGTAGCAAATAGGACCCTCATCTGCAGCGGCTCTGCAGAGCAGTCTGCTGGTTCCCCTGCCACTTTCGGCAATTCCACTCCTCCGTATGCACCCAGGAACCTCGCGAACACACAGTCACACGGTTGCTGGCATTGGCGGGGTGCTTTGTTGTTTGGGTTTTGTATGTTTTCCTTTACATGAAATCTAGGAAAGGCAAACCTATAAAGGCGCTCACTGGATTCGTTGTTTCTGAGGGTCACAGCCATCTGTAAACTCTTCAGGGGCAAATTCCCTACTCCTTCTTCGTAGTCTGGTCCTAGTCTGGGACTGCTGCTGAAATCTGTTCTCTCTGGGTGACCCTGCTGGAATTTGAAATCTCAGTGACATTGCCTCCAGGGTCACAGCAACACAAGCCACAGTACAACAAACTGACAAGGTCTCATCTGCATATGAAAGCTGACATTGTATGAGGAAGCCTGAGGAAGAATCCACGCAGTGTTAGCAAAGACGACTGAGCAGTACCATGTTCTGTCAAAAGAACACACAAATCGACCCTGGAAGAAGGACAGTTGAAATGCTTCTAAGAGGCAAAGATGGGGGGACTTGGTGTCACATACTCTGGACATGTGATCAGGAGAGAACGTCCCGGAGAAGGACACCATGCTTGGTAAAGTAGAGGGTCCATGACAAAGAGGAAGGCCTTCACCGAGATGGACTGGCGCGGTGGCTTCCACCATGGGCTCGGGCACAGGAAGAACTGTGAGGGCGGTACAGGAACGGCCGGTTCCCTTGTGTTGTGCACAGGGTCGCTGTGGCCAGAACTGATTCGATGACACCTAACAGTAACAATTGGGGGAGGGGAGTAGGGGGTGTGTGTCCCGGGAAATGGGGAGCTAATAATAATGGATACAAGAGTGAAGAAAATGGGCTATCAAAAGATATAGTGTCTGGGGTCTTAAAGGCTTGAAGATAAACAAACGGCCAACCAGCTGAGAAGCATCAAAGCCCACATGGAAGAAGCACACCAGCCTGACTGACCACGAGGTGCAGAAGGGACCAGTTTTCAGACATCAAAGAACTAAAAATCAGATCAGTGGGTGCCCACCTTCCTGATACGATCACTGAAGACAAACGTGTGCATAAG